GTTAAGTCATACGCGCGCGCGCGCGAAATAACCGCTCGTCACTGTAGGCTGTATTTGTAGACATCAAAACAACTTTTGCGCAGTCAAAAATGTGGGAAGTTGGTTGAAGGCATAATTGGAATGAAATCCTTGTTTATATACCGTTTCTAATAGTCACTATGTTATGTAAGAAAAATTGCGGTCCCCTTTGATATAAATTAACCCAATTATTACTCGATTACACAAGAAGCTAAATATTTGTGTCATTGAATAGTATGATTCTTCCTAGTTTTAGAATGTTTTCTTTGGATCACGTTGATCAATTTGCCGGAGAGAAACTTAAAATTTCCTTACTCTTTCTCTGTTACTTATTAATAGACCGCGGATCTTTGCGCAGAATAAAAATTCCCCTAGAAGTTGAATTTTTCTTTTAATAGGTCTAACAGGTTAGAAAATATAATAATAGAAAATATAATAAAATAATATAATATAATAATAGCGTTCTTAAACTCTCTTAAGCTCTCCACTCATTTTGTGTCTCGCGTTAGCATTTTTGTTGTAAACGCCCTAAATCCGCGGTCCGCTTATTAAAGCTCGAAACCGGCTGCGAAAAGATTGATCGGAGATTATCTTTGAAGACACTTTTAATGATTAAGGGGATCAAGGGTATGAACGGCACGTGCAATATATCTTATTATATTTCGTGGCGAGAACGAAAGACCAACATTCTGTGGTACGCTTTGGATGCCGAAAGAACAACATATGTCCCGTGCCAGGATTTATGAGAAGTGGAGCGAAATCATCTGTAATCCCGGACGATTAAGAACATAAACGCGGGTCCGCGGGGTGTAGTTAAGCTAAACACTCGACAAGTTGCGTGCACAATGAAAACACTTGATCGTATTCACGTAGGGGAACATTCGAATATTAACTGGGGGATTTTGACAATTTTTCTCCGGGCCTTCGTATCTACATTTTCGTAACTTTTTCGATAACGCAATCGTGAAATTATTTATTATATACAGCGTTACATCCGGCGAGAAAATGAAAACATACTTTGGCACTTTTATTCTATTAAGTGATTCTTCTTGTAAACAATAAATGCGATACTTGTGATTCTACCGACAAAGAAAGCATCATCTTGAAGAGATATCTCCGCAAATACAGTCAAACCGCGATGCTTTCTCTGTAATTGGTATGATTAAATGTTGGTATAGTTTAGAGTTTCGTTTGTTGTGTCCAATTTGTATACTTCAGTTATGCTTCTGTTCTAGAATTCAGACTTCTTACTATTTAAAACTGGCCTCTGTGAATTAAAATGTTACTATTACTATCTTCACAGCTCGAAATAATAATTATAAAATTGCATACTTCTTTCAATAATGACGTTGAATAGACTAATTTCTGAAATGTCTGAGCTCGACTCAACATGCAATATTTTAGACACATTTAACGCGAGTTCTGTTAACATATTGTAAATTACGTACACGTATATTTCGCATGTGTACGTACAAATGTGTAATATATAATGTTACATGGAAAAGTTAAATTAAATTTTTCTCGAGGCTTTACTTGGAATACTTTAATTAATCGATCCTATTAAGAACTATAATATTTGTTTTTCACGAAACTATAAGGCAGTTCTTTTTTTAACGTCTACGGCGATATATCTTATACTCGAGATACCGAAGAGGTGTTACATTTCTGAAGATGACACCGGATAGAGAGGGAGCAGTTACAGGAACACATACCATGTCAGAGAATTATATATTATTCTCTTCGCAATAAAAATTAATGTACGTTAACAATGATCACTGGTGAATTGTTGAACTTTCGATAACTATAACACTACAGCACTATAACATGACAACGTGTCAATTTCGTTATGAATCGCTTATCAATATTTGGCACTTACAATTAACGTAAACATACAATAAACAATAAATCTTCTTTCTCCTGTAGGAATTCAACAACGAAAACGAAGTGCTATTCGACGCAGCTGTGGTAGAAAAGTTAAAACTGTAACTCTAAAAGTGAAAGTTATGTCAATGAACAAATTGGCTGGATTTGTGAACAACAGTGGCCGAAATCGTCGAGCCGTCTGTGATAAAACACACAAACGAAACTATTTAATTTACTATCGTCGACAGCTAACTATCGTTCGGTTACTCTTCCCTAACTCGAAAAGTTGAATTCCGTACTTGGAACTCGACGGTTGGATTTCTGTGCCATACAATATTATGTTCAATTTGACCTCGATGACTGAAAAAGAACATGTTCCATTAGAATGAAACGTCTTATCGCACGGTGAGCATAGTAAACGGATAACCCAGAAGCGCAACTCTAAAAGCGAAGGTTATGCCAATGAACAAATTGGCTGGACTTTGAACAGTGGCCAAAATCGTCGAGCTGTCCATAATAAAACACACAAACGAAACTATTTAATTTACTATTGTCGACAGCTAACTACCGTTCGGTTACTCTCCCCTAACTCGAAAAGTTGAATTCCGTACTTGGAACTCGACGGTTGGATTTCTGTGCCATACAATATTATGTTCAATTTGACCTCGATGACTGAAAAAGAACATGTTCCATTAGTATGAAACGTCTTATCGCACGGTGAGCACGGTAAACGGATAACCCAGATTCCGCGACGGCCGCTGCAGTTCGAATAAATCCCCGATAAAGTCGCGCCGTACAACCACCTAGAGAATGTTTCTCCGCGCGGAGTGGGAACGGGCGAGATACAGTTTCCGATATATTCGGAAATACGATGACCGAAGGATCTCACTTGCGATGGTACGCTACCGCTACCGGTTACGGATAGTTCCACGCACACCGATTATGCCCGCGGCGCACACACACGCACAAGGAAAAATCGTACGGCTCGCCTGTGTTGTAAATCTGGCATGCAGAGGGCCAGGTGGTGGTGGCGTGGCGCTTTCGCGGGCGTGTAGGTGCACGGAATAACGCGGGAGGGGGGGCAGGAACGGGAACACAACGCAAAATCCCCCTGTACATACACACACGCTTGTATGATACATACGTACGGGGGATGGGCCTGTGCGCAATCAAGGCGAAGGGGTGCTTTAGCAGAGTCGCCCCGCGGTAACCAGGGCGACGGCACGTAACGCCGCCCACAACCCTCGGGCTGTCTTGTCCGATGTGTTTGCTCGATGATTTTATACCAATTACGGCCTATCCCCATGCTATTGCCTACTCCCCGTAACATCGTCTGTATCCCTACCCTACGTCCTCATCGCCACCCACTCCGAAGACGGTCGCGTGTACAGGCCGGAAAGGTGCTCCACTTCTGCTCTAAAAGCGACCAGCAAGCGTACCTATACTACGTGCGAGCCACCAGCGCACAGATTTTCCTCGGTCCGTGTGTGTGGCACTCGTCCCGAGTAGCTCGATGTACCCTTTACTATCTGACGGACGCTCGTACAAAGAAACGTTATCCGTTTCCCCTTCGACTTCCTCGACTTACGTTATTCCCCTACTAAAAGATTCTCGGACGCCTAAGACCAGTTTCACGCGACGATATAACCGTGTCGCGACACGCGTGTACGCGATGCAGCGAGGAAAATGCATCGTGTGCTACCGAATCGTGCCGTCCGAACGACCCCGTTGAATCACAGGGGTGTCGAACTCGCGGCCCGAGATGGACATTTTTGCGAGAAAGAAGTATTTCTCGCGAAATAGGGAAGATAATGTCAGAGAGGAGATGTCGAGTATCAGGGCGTAAACGATAATTGAACTTTATATGCGTTTATTACAATGTACTAGTCGAAATAAAAGTATTTGTTTCTATGAACATTGATTCTTTTTTTTTTGCGGCCCAACTAAAGTTAAGCATTGTTTATTTGGTCCAAGTTAGCTTTTGAGTTTGACACCCCTGACGTGCACGGTCGGTGTTCAACGTACGCGCCTCGCGACACGAGGAGCCTCGTGTGCAAACGGCTCTGATTTCTCCTGCTCTTTCAACCTCTGTGCATGATTTCATCCTCATCGACGATTTCTGCGTCCGCGATTCGGCAAGATCGCATTTGAGAGCTATGGGAGTCAAGATAACGGGGAGGTATCGCGTTTCCGTAGACGATGTCGGATGAGCGAGGGCCAGTTACCCGACACACACGCGGCGGCTGGAAATTAAGGGGATGTTCTAGCGCGGTGTGCGCGTTTTTCATCTTTTTAGAGAATTTTTTTGCAAAGAAACTGTTATACCGTTCGCGGTCAAATTGGCGTGGTTTATTTCTACGTATCTCATAGAACGTTTTAACATTTTTGGAACGAAAAGAAGTTACAAATCAGTGGCACTGCATACTCTTGAACATAATCGCTTTTGTAGAAGGTCGGAGCGAGGAAATTTTTTGGCTGATTCTAATAGGGGCTGTATGAACATATGCACGAAATACGTAGTTAAAATTTCGAGTCAGTTGGTCGAGTTGATTGTGAGACATCATCTATGATATTTAAACGTTAAAGGCATTTTTCTCGAAACTATGTTGTTTTTTCGGAACAGTTTCCAAACTGTTTTTCTCGAAACTGTGCTGTTTTTCGGAACGGTTTGGAAACTGTCCTTTAAGAATATGCAAAAAAACATCGACTTTTTTTTAAAGTTCACACTGGAATACGCACTCAAGTAAACGATAATGCATCGATAATGAATCCTCGTGGAGATTCAAAGCGATCGACATGCAGTCGACATGCAATCGACAATGCAAAAAAAGATTGATTTTTTCAAAAGTTACTTTTAAGTTACACTTAATTAAGCGATAAGACAATGGGACTCTCGTGGAGATTTGAAGTGATCGACAAACGCGAACACGAAATATATTGAACAACACTCTTACGAAGCACTGTTGCACCGTAAATTTTATCGTAACGAAAAGAAATGCTTGAAAATAGGTTTCAAGAAATTATAAAAATTTAAATAAAAATAAAATAAAATGATAAAAATACTCATCGCTGCACGGGAGTGTTGTTGTTATTAAGTAAGAATAATAAGAAAACAGATGAATGCGTAACATAGTTATATTTATTGTACACAGCTGTATAACAAGATAAATCCCATTTTTAGGCGCATAGTTTTGGGATTCCATCACTATAGATAATTAATGTACAATAAATAATTGAAAAAAAATCAGAAAAAATATTGAATAACATTTGTCTCGATCGAAGAGAATTAATGTTTGGTTTTTATAAGGTTTATAAGGTTTTAATGCCCCAGCTACGAACACAGTCACGCGATTATACCAAGCAGACTAATACATGTGGCGACACCTGCCGTTGATTCGGTGTACTAATTGGAAGAATTTCATTCCTCCACTCATTGGATACTAGATGAACTTAATTGTAACATAATATTCGTTGTCGTTATATTTAATTATAATTTTCCACATCGAATACTTTGCTTAGTATACCGATTAAAGTAATTTCCTCAGTGTTTCAAGCGTGTTCGCTAAATTAACCGAAAAATGATAGCGAAGTTTTATATAAATAACTATATATATAGCATAGATAAATAAATTTTATGGCAAATGATGATATGATTAGATTTACACGAGTCTTATTATTTATGAATCGGCGCAGGAGGAATAACTGACAACTTCCCAATCAATTGTTGGCCGACGTCACTTACACCTTTTTCCTTAAAATTTCGATCGGGCCTCGTGATAAGTGCCATACTGTTGTTTGCTCTTTATTCCATAGTCGTCGTTAAAATTTTCCGAGCCGCTGTACATCGAGAAACCACGACGAGATAGCAGTTCTCCAGGCACAATCGTGGGATTCGTATAACAAAAGTCTGCCATCATACTCGTTTGTCTATTTAACTGATTCGATCTAAAAAATCAAACACTTTAATGGCGCTGTCTCGTTTAAAAAAAAAAAAAACTACATTATGCAATAGTAGTTCCCGTACTTAATATTTAGCCTAAGATCGTTTTCACAAACTGTGATTTAATCCGTTGCAGTTCTCATAGAAGGCACGACATATGGACCGTTTATTTTGAAAGTGGTGTAAGTCCTTTTTTAAAAAAAAATGAGATACGACGTAATTTATGCTTAATTTAGTGTAAACTTTTTGTTTATAACTAGTTAGTATTTAATAGCTTAAAAAATGCCAATGCTTTGTTCAATTTAAAATTGGCCGGTAAAAGAAATCGCGTAGCCATAATTAATAATAATTATTAATTATATAATATTGGTATTATTATATAATAATTATTATATATAATATTATATAACAATATTGGTATTATTAATTATTAATAATACCAAATATCTTGTGTTAAGTTTAACAATATATAAATATAATTAACGTTCAAAATAAAAAATGCTGATCCTATTTTATTTCTTGTTTTTATTTATATGCAAAATTGGATTAATATGAGATATATTTTAAGCGATATTTGTTATTTCAAAATTGAAATTAAATGATATTTACAATTGACTAATTATGAAAGTGGTGTAAGAGTCCATTTGCAGCCTGGAAATTGTACATTATTTTAGTTAAATTCGCCAAAAAGAAATTTATATAATCAAATTACATATTGATAAATTAGTACAAACATTCCCAGACTTCGCACAATTAACCTATATTTTTTAATTATCGGATCTGCTAACATTCGACTTTCTCGAAACGAAAGAAAGTGGACTCGCGCAACTTTCAAAATAAACGTTCCATATATACTTCTACAATCATACTTTAATTTTCATCATAAAATTTTGCTCATTTTCAACTTCCTGTATCCTTCTTCTTTGTTCATATTTTGTTCACATTTCTTTTATATCATATTTTTTGTTCATATCTCGCTTTCATTTTCAGAAGAAAAACAATCGTACTGCGACGGAGTGAATCTTTCCACGGGTCGGAGAATAATTACGGAAAAGTAAATGCGGTCGCGAGCAATCATCTCTTAACTCCTGTACCCGTCTGACATTTTTCTAACGAGATAAGCTAAACAATCATGCCGCGTCGCACCGAAGATACGATATCAACGTTGCAAGCAAGTGAGTCACGCAATTACTAAAAATGCTCTCTATTCCGTGTACCACCGAGAAGTCGTGGATTTGACAATCAATCGTGTATGTGTGAATCTTACGTGACATATCCCGATTTTCGGCCTACATCGTCGAGAACGTGGCTCGTCCCAACAAAACGAAACGTCGGCTATGCAACTGACACGTACAATTTTCATGAGAATTTGAAGTCAAACGTTTTCAATATGAAAAATATACATACTTCGTAACGAAGTGTAATTAAGAAGCGAAGCCTTCCGCGCGGTGTACACATTTCGAAGCGAAGCTCAATGGGGGATAATTCACGAAATGAATTTACACTAGGTTGTGGGAATCAAGGTGGAGTATTGCGTGCAGAAAATAAAAAAGGTAACGTTTCAATAGTTTTCGGTGAAGCGTGTACTTACCCATCGGTGGCTAATCGATTCACTTTCACAAAGAGGAGAATCACCAAAATAAATAGTATTAACAAAGCTCCTGCGACCACTCCTCCGGCTATAGCTAAGTACAGCAACAACTCATCGACTTCCTGGAACGTTGAACAAGTGGATTTAATGATGACGATAACGATAAGCCAGTTAATCGCAAATGCATCGTTCTCATTCATTGCCATCGTCATGTCGAATGGTTTCGTTCTACCATAGAACGCCTTTCGATTGACACGATCTGAGATATTTGAAATTCCTCATATACAGGGTGTCCCAAAATTATGATGCTTCCGGCAAGTGAGAGGTTCCTGAGGTTATTCGAAGTAACTTTTTCCTTAGCGAAAATGCAATCCGCAGTTTTGTTTACGAGTTATTAGCGAAAAACACTGACCAATGAGAAGCAAGCTCGACTGGCGCAAGGCGGGCGAGCTAACGAGCGGACAAAGCCCAGTTCCGCTCATTGGCCACTCTGTTTTTCGTTAATAACGCGTAAACGAAACGGCAGATCGCGTTTGAGCTAAGGAAGAAGTTACTTCAAATAACCTCAGTAATCCCTCATTTCCCGGAAGTACTATAATCTTGGGACACCCTGTATAACTACACTGCGAATTTTATGCATTTATGACGAAATGGTCAAATATAGAATTGTAAGGTCTTTAGGACGATTTGAGGATATTGTTACATTATTTTCAACTTGTTACAATTCAATTATCAAAGGAAAAGTGACATTTTCAACTAATTTAAGTTTCTTACAATCAACTAAAACAGTTTTTATTACGTATAAAGATCGGCGGTCTACCGATAACGTTTCAAGAAACGCGTTAAAAATTTATGATCGACCACGTGCTCCGGCAAACATTTCCTTCGTCTCTTTAACGCGCCTTCTGTCGATCCAACTCTCTTTCTAAGTACGCTCAACCTTGGATAGCCGGTGACACGATTAATTAGAATTGACTGTAGCTCCTCGCGAACCGGATGACCACGATCCAAAGAATTCTGAACATGTCAAGAATCAGTGACGTCCCGAATAATAGACATCAATACGGTCGGCGCATAATGAGAATGCAAGAATGTGGAAAGATCTTTGTCACGCATCGTTGTTTTGCACTTCCTCGAACCAACATGTCGCAACCCGCATTTAACGTAGACCACGTAATGCGTCGAATCGGGAAAGGGGCAAACGAACAAGCCTGTCGGAAGTGGGACTCAACAACTATTGAGTTGGCAACTAAGCAATTGCCGATTTCAGTTATAGATGTGTCTCTCACTCCCATTTTTATGATATCCGTAAATGTTATATTATAAAATTATTATTATTATTATTATGTTATTTTTTATTATCCGCGAACGTTAGCAACTGGACAAATTGAATGCAGCGGTCAAGGAAAAGCGACCAGAATTGGTCGATCGTAAAGGTGTCATTTTCCAGCAGGACAATGCTAGGCCGCACACGTCTTTGTCCACTCGGCAAAAATTGATGGATATTGCTTGGGAATTGATGTTACACCCACCATATAGGCCTGATCTCGTGCCATCGGATCACCACTTATTTCGATCCCTGGACAACTCCCTTCGTGGTAAAACTTTGACGATGACGCTGTAAAATCTCACTTAACTCAGTTTTTGATCGAAAAGGATCAGACTTTCTACGAGCGTGGAATTTTCAAGTTGTCAGAGAGATGGCAAAAGGTCATCGAACAAAATGGAAAATACATTACAGATGAAACTTCGTTCCAAGTAAAAAGAAACTTTTCATTTCATTGAACAAATCGGCGATTACTTAGTTGCCAATCCAATAGAATACACTTTTTATAATGTATGTATATTATAAAATATCATGAATCTAGAGAAGAGACAATATCACGAGACAAATTTGAAAAATGGGAAGCAGTGAATAGAACGTGGCATTCCAATTCGCAGAGTTTTTGCAATTTCCACGTTTCTTACAATATTGTTATTCTTAGAAATAACATGGCAAATAGCATTAGCTTAGAAATAACATTCTCAGAAATAACATGACAAAAGGTCATCGAACAAAATGGAAAATACATTATAGATTAAACTTCGTTCCAAGTAAAAAGAAACTTTCCATTTCATTGAACAAATCGGCGATTACTTAGTTGCCAATCCAATACAATACACTTTTTATAATGTATGTATATTATAAAATATCATGAATCATGATAAAATATCATGAATCTAGAGAAGAGACAATATTACGAGACAAATTTGAAAAATGGGAAGCACTGAATAGAACATGGCATTCCAATTCGCAAAGTTTTTGCAATTTCCACGTTTCTTACAATATTGTTATTCTTAGAAATAACATGGCAAATAGCATTAGCTTAGAAATAACATTCTCAGAAATAACATGACAAAAGGTCATCGAACAAAATGGAAAATACATTACAGATTAAACTTCGTTCCAAGTAAAAAGAAATTTTTCATTTCATTGAACAAATCGGCGATTACTCAGTTGCCAATCCAATAGAATACACTTTTTATAATGTATGTATATTATAAAATATCATGAATCTAGAGAAGAGACAATATTACGAGACAAATTTGGAAAATGGGAAGCACCGAATAGAACGTGGCATTCCAATTCGCAGAGTTTTTGCAATTTCCACGTTTCTTACAATATTGTTATTCTTACAAATAACATGGCAAAAGGTCATCGAACAAAATGGAAAATACATTACAGATTAAACTTCGTTCCAAGTAAAAAGAAATTTTTTATTTCATTGAACAAATCGGCAATTAGTTGCCAACCCAATAGTTGCGGGCTCGTCTTGCCCTTCGCGAATAAGTTCGAGAGCGAACGGAACAAACGATCGAGATCCTTGAGCATGTGTCGCTCCCCGATCACTCCCGCTTATTCCTACGCAAATCCCATGGAATTGTTTACGCGTCCCCGCGAATCACTTTCATCGCATAGTTTTCTGTGATTCTTCTTGCGCCAGGCCAACCTTGAAGGCGCATAGTTGCATCTCTAATGGGCGGCCGCTCGACTGGCCGTAATTAGTGTTACAAAACAAGCTTTATTATGGCACTATGATTAGCCCCGATCCTTGTGAAAGCACTTATACAAACGCGTTACCAACCACGCAACGGCCGACTATTTGGTTGATTAATTGATCGCAAACTGGAAGTCGCGCGAAACAGGATTACACACGATAATATTGTTCAGAAGATCGAGGTACAGGTTTAGGGTGATTCGAGGAAACACGGGTATGGTAGCTGTATACGAACGAGCAATAGCAAACGAGTAATTTAATTATCTGGCTGTTCTGAGATTGCAGACCTTGATACGAGGATCGTACCATTTTTTTTAGCGAATTAGGCTATTCCCGTTGCGTTCTACGAGCACAGACGTTGCGACATGTAATTCCGGAATTTCACGGTATTTAGATCATGCGCGCATGAATTGCACATATATGTACACAGTTGGAGCGTATCGGTAATTTCGACGATCCGAAACATCGATACATAAATGAGCGGTTATGTAAACGAAATGCAATAAGCAAAATGTATAATACGAGCGCGCCACGAACGAGGCCATGTTGCGCTTTAAACGCATTCCGAATGAAATTATTTTGCTTTCTGTCGCGCGAATAAAACCGAGCTCGGTTTTTCTTCGAAAAATTTCTCGAGCCACTCTGTATATCGAGGGAAACTATGCGGCGGTTTATATCGGTTAGGAGCGATTTACGGTCAGTCGACAATTTCGACCTCGAATGAGTTTACGTAGAACGATAGAAAAAGTAGTAGAATCCGGCGTGTACTCACCATGGTGAATATATAGCGAGGTAAGAGCTAAATAGAACCCCTCCCGAAGACAATGCTGGACTGGATGCTCACAATCACGATACCGGTATCAGCGCGTTATCGTTACGGATTTGATATCTGCAAAAATCCCGTGGCATTGTCGACCTCGTATTCAACGGAATCGACATATCTCCATGTAGAAATCGTATTTCGAACACACTTTAGAACGTGTCACGTAGAGCGACCAATTTCTTCTGTATCCTGTCGATCATCGATGATGCAGTTCGATTTTAATGGTACCACCTCGGCGAAGCGCACAAACGTGTCCTTGCGATAATTAAGCGTTGCCTGGTAAACGGAAAATAATAAAGTTTCCAGGTGTATAAATATGTATATATATCAGCCAAGTGGAAACATGGAAGATATCCACGCTCTGCGCTTCCGGTACCGATGTCCTTTCTTCCTGAAGCGAGAAGGCACTCGGATCACTTGGCACCGTTTTTCAGCGGTATCGGTGGTTAGCTAAATGAGCACTGTATGAGACCGAGACGAGAGTGAGGCAAAGTGTGTAACAGTGCCAGCAAAGCAATGCTGAATGCTGATAAACCCCTCCAGGCCGTGGTAGGTGTATATGTACACACGTGCGTGCGCGGCTGACTTCTTGCAAGGGTATCCGCGTCCTCCGCGCTCGCCGATCGGGTCCACGCGAGCCACGATTTACGTGGGTATCGTTAAGTTATTTAACTTGTGACAGAGCGAAACGTCGGGGACCTGTCGCGTGTGGACGAAGACGCGTTACACTGGCAGACGTGAATGACAATCTACTTCGAACACCTGGTCTATGAAAAGAACTGTAAACATTGCGGTCGCAAGAGGTCTTTTTTTTGTTACGCAAGCCCTACATGCACAATTTGAACAAGTCGACCGTTCGGAGCAATGATAATAATTTTTTTTTCTTCTTTTATCTGCGTTCATTTGTTCAGATACTTTCTAACGAATTGTTTGTGTTTTTCTGATTTAATTCTGTGGAGATGTTGTGATTCTATGTATATTGTAGGAAAGACGAACAATCACGCTACATGAAAAATCAAATTCGAAAATTTATCTAAATGAAATATAACATAACAGCTTGAGTGTTTTCTGCAAGTTGCAGAATCTTAACGGGCATTTATTTCCGTTTTTTACAAGTTTAATGAGATGAACGTATAAATATATATATAAATTTATTTATAAATATATTATATTTATTATAATAATATAATATATATAATAAATAATCCGCAAAATGTAGTTAGTACAACATGCATACATTCTCTATAAAATACGTGTAGAGGTATATTTAAAAAGCATTGTTAGAATTTCGAATTCCATTATATTTTAAGAATTTATAAAAATACATAACAAAAGTTTCTAATCGATTTAACAGATCTTTCTTAAATCTCTTTTAGTAGAATCTAGTATCTTTATAAAAGTATAAATATTATACAAAAAATACATCATGTATTCTCACCCGTTCTAGTGGCGCAATGAATACATGAATTTCATCTTTGGGTATGTACAATTATTTGTATATAAATACAAAAGAGGATGATGTTTTTACATTATTTACACTACATTGTGAAATGTTATATTGCTGTGAATCTTTGTCTCGTGTGCAGGCATTATCATCAACCATTGCAACACGTGGGGAAGCATCATACTCATACATAAATACAGATAATAAGGAATGGGCTCGGTAGAACCTATAGGACAGAACCATAAACCTCTTCGCGTGCCATCGCGTATATGATGACTCAAAAAACTGGCCAAAATCATCCAAGCATAATAGCTCGACTTTGGATGATTAAACATGCTCGAATACAAGTTGAGAAGAGTCCATATTACGATAGGAACTGTTGTACAATGTAAGAATGGTCGCTTCTTCAGATGTGTGGCATCCTATAAAAATATAACTGAAAGTTAGATTAAATCATCATTTCATTATTTCTACCACCGAAATTGGTTGGAACAAAGATAATGATAATCACTTACGTTTAAATCCCAGCTCCATGCTGCAATAAAATGATCTACATCAATGACAGACGATAAGAAGAAACAGCAAAAAATATTCGACAAGTTTTGTGTAAGCGACTTTTTGAATAAGTTTAAAATAACTGCCCAAGTGAGGCCACCAACAATTGCATGAGTAATATTGTCAAATATCGCACGTGACACAGCAGATTTCCCATACTTTAAACCCTGATCACCCATGGACGAACAAATGCCTATAGCACCAGTCAATATCAACCGTGTAAACACTTCTTTTTTTCCAATAAACATTATGACGAGTTTATCCAAAATATTTTCAGACTATTTTTTAACGAATCTCTTTCCTGTTAATATAAATGCTAAAAAATTGTAAACAAAAGTCTGCCATTTTAGATTGCTCGGTCTACGATATACTCTATTTACGGTTAAATTTTTGCTATAATCTATTTCAACTAATTCATTTTATAATGAATTCGCTAAATAATACATTATAATTCGTTTTATATTAAACATTCGTGTAAATTGAATTTACTATTTCTTTTATTACAACATTCATTGATTATGTATGCACATATTTTAGGTTCGTTACACTATGTATGTATTTAAGCATTAAAGATGGCGCCGGTTTTTAGACAAGGCGGGAGTCTCCGACTGTATTTTCTACGGAAAGTGACTAGTGAAGAATTCCCTGTGAAAGAAGTTGAAATCAGTTGAAATATACAAACTATTATAGTTTACATCTGTATAGCATAAAATGGTAAATGCGGTAAACAGTAGTAAATAAATAATCCCTTTCGGTAAAAGCATAGAATATACATTCATTGTTTTAAAAATCGCGTATATGATATAGCATTTGTTCTGAACGTGTTTCATTAGTTATTTATAATATCGTCGTATGATTTGAGAAGCACGTGCTGCTAAAATTTCATTAAACTATTTGAGAGAACAACCTTCAGAATTTTCTGATAGAATATTTGTTTATTTACAACCCGGCATAAAAAATGTCTACTGTGAAGGTAACTATTCTGTAACTTGAAATGTAAAAATGTATATTAATGAATTAAATATACAAAATATTTCTAAATATTTATTTGCAATATCTATCAAAACTTATTTAATCAAACATTTGCATTATAATTTTTTCATTGCAAGTGATATTCATTAGAATTGTTAGACATAATTTATTTGTGTCAAGCTATAGTGTAGATATTTTTCCTATTATTAAATGGTTTTATATGTATGTATGTGTTTAATTGTTTTAGCCTGCTGATTCTAAGAAAGAAGAGTTTCGGAAGTACCTCGAAAGGGCAGGTGTTATGGAAGCGCTTACGAAGATACTTGTATCTTTATATGAAGAACCTGAAAAGCCTGATGATCCTTTAGAGTATCCTTTTGTAAATATAAGAATAGAAACGAATAATGTTCGACACACAACGTATGTTCCTTTAACCGTTTAATAGATATGTACGCCAAAGAATTGGGGATATCACAGAAAATGATGTTGAAATAGATTCATTAAGAAATGAATTGATGGAAGCAAAAGCTAAGATTGTCGAATTGAAGGCAAAGTTGGTAAAGTATGAACCAGATGAAGATGCAGAATAATTAAATCATGAAATTTTTAAACAACTCAGAACTAGTCCCTGCTGGTTTCTGACTTCCGCAGGAAGTTCGACAATTTATGTGCCTTACAATAGAGATAGCAACCTTTTTGGAGATACTTTAAGACATAAGATAAACTTAGTTCTGTTTTTTGCACATTCCGTTAATCATAAATCTATTTTTAATTTTATTACCAAAAGTATAACAGATTGATTCTGCGGAAAATTTAAATGTATCTACAAATATGTAACATAAACTTGTAATGAAAGTACAAAAGGATATGGTAAAATAGAAAGTAATGGTTGAACTACAATTTTGTTGTAAGCGATATTTTTATGATAAGTGTTGTGTATTATTTTTTTTTTTATTCACATGTTGCATATATTTTTGTTGTATCAAAACTTATTAAGCGTAACTATCATATAAATATTACAAAAAACTTTATTGTAAGTATATAAAACAACATGTCAAATTAGAATTCAGATATATTTGTGACAATATACATAAATATTGGTGTAACTAGCTTATAACCTAAACATGTTTGAATTCTTTGTTCCATTGACATTTCCAGATATAGTTTTCCAGTTACAGGCGTTTTTCTTGACAATATCACCTACATTGTAAAACGGATTTGTATATGTTTGAATTTTAAAAGAATTACTTGTTGGGTTTTAGGCAATCATTACAAATTAAAAATAAGAACAAAAAATTTATGTTGCTTTACTCGCTCCTGCTTGTCTACGTTTTACTTCCCAATTATGGATGCGAGCCATATTTACTTCTGTTGTCGTAAATTGATCTCTGACAAAATCTAAATCGTGTTCCACATAACCCAAATTCCTTTTTGCTGCCTCAATGTTCTTCGATAACATTTCTTGTGCATCATCCAGGGTATACTCTAACATTATATTAGCACCTAACCATAAACAGACTTTGTCGGTAGGTGGAATAACAGCTTTTGCATAAACTTGTTCAGACAAAAGAAATCGTGTTTCTAAATCTTTGCTGTTGTTTTTCTCTAATTGAAGTTTTTTGATCATTTCTAGAGCTCTCTCTAGGTCAGGAATCTGTGCCTTCAACCGTCTCCTCTTGTTAACCAAGTTATATTCCATGAATTTATATTTACTATGGTTTTCATCCAACATCTGCACTACTTTATCTGCCGATTTATTCTCCGGCTTTGCCATGAAAGCGTCGACATCGTCCTGTAATATAAAAAATTACATATTAAACGACACGTTCAGTTCACAAATAATTTAAATATCATGGTGTCTATTTCTTTTATAACCATATAAGGTTCGCGGTATAAAAATGTCTAAACGATGAAATATTTTCTTTTACAAAATATAGTGATAAACAAAAATTCTCTGACATTAATTTTCTTTTTCTTTTTAAAATAAGTATCTATCAAAAATCATAAGGATTATCGCATCATAAAAACATTCATTATAACAAAATGAAAATTAAATATACAAAAATTTCATGATAATAATAATTTTATAATAAAATGTAATAAGAATGATTAATTATTACATTACACTTACGACAAAATCTGCCTCCGGTATTCCGGCATACGACTTTTTCTCTTTATCCAGGCCAACATCGGCTTTATTGTCACCGTCTTCCATCTTGGATTACTTGAACAAATTCTCATAGTATGTGATCAGTCCACATGGTTGCCTCTGTAATTTAAAAAATTTTCCAATTTTGAACTAATTTCAATATACATTTATTTAGATATTTCGTTTCGTGCCAATCTAAGGTTTAAGTTGGTCTAAAAACAAAAGATAGATATAGATTTATTTTATATTTTTACATTATGTTTATTGATAGATTGTACATAAATATATTCGTGTGAAGCTAGCTCAAGATAGTAATCAATATTAATGAAACATAGCTCAAAAATTGCTCTTTAATCGTCCATAATCGCTCACCAATTAATTTTCATTTCTATCTTATCCTTTTCGAGAAATGTCCAAAAAACTATTTGAAACGCCTAGTGACTTTTACGAGAGGCTGGGGACTTTTGAAAATACGGAATTTCTGAAATGATGCATAAAACATGCTGTATGACTTATCATAGCGTTGCTCTTTTCATGTAACTAACTACTCAATTTTCCATGCACGACAATTTTGTCAGGAAACAATGAATTTTGAATAAACAAATATATAAGGAACTAGGAGCACATGCCAATCATGGCTGCCAACTATCAATTGGCATAAATATTCAAAAAATTGTTCTAACTTAATGTGCGATAGCTTAAACAAATGCTCTTTAATTCCCCATTGTTAATCTGTAATTGTTTTTAATTGTTCCTTAACTGTTCCTCCAAATTTTGATTTAAATTTACTCTAATTTTCTTCTTAACTCGAATCTAAATTTATTTCATTTTCTCCCCCCTTATATATTTGACGAAATATTATCTTCAATTGCAACTAGAGATCATGGTTTTGAACGTGTATTTTACAGAACGTGTATTTTCATAAATATGCAACGCTAGCTAGGAGGTAGTGTCATCTAGCGGTAAATTACAGTAGTAACATTCAATCTATATAGGATTAATTCTATGATTCATTAACGGATCAGTGTTATGTATTTATTCAATTGAAACACATAAAAGGAATATATAGGAAAAAATGCGACTAATAAATTGATAATTTAATAATAATGGAAAATTATAACATATATATTAATTTTCATTAGGAATTTAAAAAAATATTTCGCCAATTTCTTTGTAATGTAATATCATCATCAATATCAAACTACTCACAATTAATTTATATTCATAATTTTTCATACAAATATATATCGATTGAACTAAAAAAAAATATTAAGAAGCTTTTAAATTAATAAATAGGTGTTACATTCGATCGAGTGTTAGAACACCAGTTGAGTCGTAATTAATGCCCGATAATGATAACAATTATCGAGAAATACAGAAAACTATACAGGATTGGTCGAGGTGACCTTTGTTCTTCGGATAATTGCACGTTTCATTAGTTATGAATAATTATTTTAAATTTAAATATTTGTTTTTTCAATACACGCATAAGCAAGGCTTATTACAACCGTAGTTGTAGTAGCTAACCGATGTAATGTACATAACTGATGCGTACAAACTGATGTAAATGCATTGCACATATTTGTAGATAAATAATTATTACGAAAGTTGTAATATGTGTAATTTGCAAGAATTCCTTTTTTCAAATTAGATGCCATATTGTTCTGTTTTAAATTGTATATGTTTTGAACAAAAACTCTCACAGGAAATATATTATGTAACAACTCTGTTTATTTTGTGTATACAGAATAACCTCGTGGACACATCGTGGTATGCATATTCTGGAGATACAGCGAGCAATAATAAAAGTACCTGAACGGAATACATTTAAAATGGAATAAATTTTTTCAAATTGGCTTTATTAAACCATGTCTAAAACATGTTTGCGAAAACTACAACTGCGTGAAACGATAAAAAGATGTAAACAATTACGTTATTCAACTTTTTGATCTGAGTTCAATACTCTTTAATAAAATACAATAAATTTAACAAAAATTTAAGGAATTGGTTAACGTTGTTACGAGCTATAAACAATTAAATATTTGAATTAAATAATAATATTAATAATGATATTAATAATAATAATATTTGAATAAATAATATTGAATTAAATATTTATTTAAAGTATTTGTTTTATTAACAATTGAAATACTTTGAAAATACTATATGCTTTCAATTTTACCTACTCATTTTCTCGTAAAATTCGCAATCTAATGGTCACGAATGCTTATTCGGATACCGAATTCGAGAGAAAAGTTTTGTACTGTGTCTCGCTTCGAAAGAAAAAGTTTCGAGCTGTGTTTCATTTCCCAGAGAAGTTGAAAATATTGTGACTTTTTAAAACCGGTCCTTCTCGCCCCTCTTTTCCAATGCACGGTTCAATCTAAATTAACCGTCCACCCGCACCCCGCATATTCGAGCACCGTACACGGACTGACAAACTGACGTTACGTTTACGATTGACGCGGGGCGCATTCCTCCTCTTTGATACACTTTATTGGCCTAATAGAGCCGAATAGTTGCCGTATCGTGTAAAGCGGGGTAAGCCCTGTGCTATTCGTCTAGACGTCTTCAAGAAAAGATTCTCCCTTTGTGAAGTGATTGCATTGTATGCAAAACAAGCAACGAACCAAGGGCGCGTGTTAATTCACGTTTTCTGTCGATCACATCTTCGAAACATCGTTTTTAATTGTATAATTAATCAAGAAATCTCACCATAACTGTAACGAAATATTATTACTATTTAAATATTATTATTATTTAAATATTATTATTATTTGCCGTAATATTAAAATCTTTGCTGTCTTGCGACCCTCAGCGTGCCCTCTTAACCATTCGAAGCCATTTTAACTCTACATCTAAAACAGTTCTTCTGATCTACGGTATTTCGTATGACTTAGTGCATTTTATGCATATTAAATCGAGTCACTCGTTCAGCAGTTACTTATTTTTAACAGTCATTAGTTAGTGCAAACAAATTTGATAATGTAAATATTATTTTCGAACAAGTCCTTGAATTTAACTGCAAACTTTTATAAACATAAGTTATTCAGTAAACTTTTAACTTCTGAATTACTTCTTTCTCCGTTTTAATTGAACTTCACACGAATACTTTAATTCTGTTCGAAAAGTTCAATTTTAAAAATTCAAGGAAGGAACATTTATTTCTTAACAGCAGATATTTTCAAGTAAATATTTCTACTATTTTTCAATGTATTTAGTATTGTTTAAGGAACTGAAAACAGGATAAATACAGATGGATAAGCAAGTCGTGATTTTGTTGTGCTTATTTTATTGTACGCTTACATTGAAAGAAAAATTGTGCAAAATAAAGAATCATTATGTATTTACTTTAATCTTTTCAAAGTAGAATAACCTGTTACCGTCCAACTAGAACTTCTTCTCATTTAAAAAAAAAAAGTAAAAATTTTCTGTTTATGCATAAATACATGTTGGAGTAAAAGTTTCGGTGAATTTACGGATCTTGTCTTAGAACAGAAAAGTTAAAAGTAAAAAAATAACTATTACCCGTAGAACCAATTGAAAATTTGAACGGTCCCATTCAGGCTCGGGATCTAATAATTTTCAGCGGTGCCTCAGAATGCAAACGGTTAGCATTATCACAAATATATTTTGTGCACATTCTTTTGAATTTCATGCTGAAATCCTGAACGCTGGATCAGCAAACTTCTCCTATTAACTTTCTTCCATTTAGACGATCCGTTCAGAGAATATCGAAATAGCAGGTAATTATCCTCGAATCAGTTGCCGTTGATTCGATCGTCGTACCAAAATCACGGTCTCCGTGTCTCGCCGAGATGAACCGGCTCTAATCGCGGCGCGAAATAAGTCCGGTCCGCATACAGATAGAGAATACCGTCAACTTTCTCGTTCAGCACGAGCGTAGAATTAGCCGGCTAGGACAGATTAAGGATGTAACGTTTGTTGTAGGCGCATAGATCACGATGATGACCCGTAACGAGTACGTGTCGAGCGACAGGGCGATCATATGGGTACGGGGTACACCAAACAGGAGTGATCCAAGTGAGCGAGTGACTGAGTGAGTTGGAGGTCGGAGGAGTATATTGGCCATTTCCGCAGGAAGCCCTAGGTAACCTGTAACCGCCATTGAGGTTGGAACTAACGTGCCACAGATCGCTGTCGTTTCATAACAAGCCGTTCTGAATTCGCCTGCCCGTAGTCCGGCCGCGTTAATCGATTGATCTTTGCTTTTCCGCGTGAAAAATATTGGCTTGGCAACTAAGTAATCGCCGATTTGTTCAATGAAATACAAAATTTCTTTTTACTTGGAACGAAGTTTAATCTGCAATGTATTTTCCATTTTGTTCGATGACCTTTTGTCATGTTATTTCTGAGAATGTTATTTCTAAGCTAATGCTATTTGCCATGCTATTTCTAAGAATAACAATATTGTAAGAAACGTGGAAATTGCAGAAACTTTGCGAATTGGAATGCCACGTTCTATTCACTGCTTCCCATTTTTCAAATTTGTCTCGTGATATTGTCTCTTCTCTAGATTCATGATATTTTATAATATACATACATTATAAAAAGTGTATTCTATTGGATTGGCAACTAAGTAATCGCCGATTTGTTCAATGAAAT